CTGCAGGGTGCAGAGCACGGGGTCCAGTGGCTTGAGCGTGGCCTGTTCCTGCACCCCGAACCGCTGCCCGGGCACCAGCCGGAACTCCAGCCTCTGCAGCAGCTTGGCCATCACCACCTTCACCTCCATCTGCGCATGTGGGGGTGGGGGAGAGTGGGAGTCAGTGAGCACAAAGGCATGGACACTGGGGCCCAGCCCCCAGCCAGGGCAGCCCGGGCGGGGCAGGGCTCCAACTGCGTCCTGGCCCCGATCAAGACCCCACCCCTGCAGTCCCTCCGCAGCCCTGGCTCCTACCTGAGCAAACTGCTGCCCGATGCAGGAGCGCGGGCCCAGCGAGAAGGGGAAGTAGGTGAACCGGGGCCTGTGGGGAGAGAGGCGTCAGGAGACGGTGCCCGCGACGGGCGGACTGGGGTTTGCACACACTGAACACAACAGCTGCCCCTGCTGCGCTCGCTCGGCATTTTCTCACGCATCCTCCTCTGAGCCTCCCGGAGGAGCCGTCATTATCCCCGCTTCACAGATGGAGGAACTGAGGCTCAGAGAGGCAGAGCAGCCCGCCCGAGGCCCCATGTCACTTATCATTGGGCCAGCCACACATCCAGCTCTGGGCAGCCTGGGTCTGGACTCAGGGGGGTCTGTCCCTGGAGCCCGGCCCCAGCATTGCTTCAGCCCTTTCGCCTATTCATTCCCCCAGAGGGAGCCAGCGGTGTTCCCATTTCTCAGATAGGAACATCAAGGCCAAGGGAGGTGCAGTCACTTGCCCAAGGGCTTCCCAGTGTAAGGACTGGTTATAAGTATGGGCTTTAGAACCAGTCTGAGCTGGGCTCAAATCCCAGCTCTGCCACTTAGGGGCTGTGCACCCTCGGGCTGAGCTCTCTGAGCTGTGATTTCCTCCCTGTAAAAGGGGGCACGGAGGGGGTGACAGCTCCCTCACGTGGATCTGGAAGGCTACATGGGCTCGGTGGGCACGGGCAGCTCAGACCAGAGGCCCCAGGACCGTCCTTGTCCAACCAGGCCTCCCTCATGGACGGCTCACAGGGAGACTTACTTGGGTGCTTTGGGGCCGAAGCGATCTGGGTTGAAGGTCAGCGGGTCCTCAAAGTATGTGTCCATCCGGCCCATGACGTAGGTGCTGAACTGCCGGGCAGAGGCTACGCTTGTCTCTGGCTCCAAGAATCAGTACCCTCGCACCTCCCCCACCTGCTGCGGCCACCCAGTGGGGTGGTTTGGAGCCGAGTAGTCTCCCAAGCCCCACTCCTGCTCTACTCCTCCCATCCATCCCTCCACCCACACACCCATCTCCCCACCCACCCATCTGGGCCATTGTGGGACCGCACTGGCCCCTGGGAATTCTCTAAGAGGAAGAAAGGGGGTGGCCAACGTGCCCCGACCACCACCTGGTGTGCTGTGTCGTCCCACGCCTGGCCCACCCGTGGGAGCGTGACTGACCCCTATTTTCAGATGAGGAAACTGAGGCTCAGAGAGGTCCGTGATTTGCCTGAAGTCACCTGACCAGTAAATGGCCAAATTGAGACTCAAACTCAGTTCTGCTGCGAGGCCATCTCTCTCCCCATCCTGAGAGCCATTCTGTTCAACACCAGGCTTGCCTGGGGTGGGAGCTGCAGGCCCCCAGCCTTCCACCTGCCCTCATGGAGCCTCCTGGTCACCCCGATGCTCCGTGCCCTGCCCCCAGGGGCCAGGCGTGCCCCCAACCAGCCCGGGTGCCAGCCTCTGCCTCTTGCACAGAGTCCCTCAGCCGCTCTGCCCTGGCTCTGTCTCAAGGATGGAGACGGGCCTGGGACTGAGCTCTGAAAAGTGAGGGGGAGCGTCAGGCAGGGAGGGGTCTCAGTCAGCAAAGGGCGCTGACTCCGTGCCAGGGGTTTTGGCCGAACAAGTGATGTACGTTATCCTGTCGACTCTTGTCAGTAAACTGTGGCCACCAACCCCATCTAACAAGGTGGCACTGAGGCCCAGGGATCCGGGGTCTCCCCTGAGGTGACCCAACTGGGCATGTCTGCCTACTAAGGCCCACAGGGCTGCATCCCTGGATTGAGAGCCAGCCACGGGGCCCTGGCCTGCCAGATGAGAAGGCCTTCCAAAGAGATGGTCACTAAGGCAGGGTTGTTGGTGCACTAAGGCAGATGAACAGAAAAAAACAACAACCCACACACATACACACACACACACATGCGCACACACACGGATGAAGCTTTGATGCATGCTGAGAAGGTGTGGCTGAGCCCTAGGGAAGGGGTGCTCGGTGGATAGGGCTGGATTCCAGGGATTCTCCATAAAAATAGATAAAAACAAAACTGGGTCCCATTATGGGCTGAGGTGTGTCCCCCTAAAATTCATATCCTGAAGTCCTGACCCCAGAATGTGACTGTGTTTGGAGATAGGTCTTAGACGAGGTAACAAAGTTACTCTGAGGTCATTAGGGTGGGCCCTAATCCAATGCGACTGGTGTCCTTATAGGAAGAGGAGATTAGGACACAGACACACACACACACAGAAAGAGAGAGAGAGAGAGAGAGAGAGAGAGAGAGAGAGAGGCTGTGTGAGGCCACCTGCAAGCCAAGGAGACGGGCTCAGAGCCCAGCCCTACCGGCACCTTGCTCTCCGACTTCCAACCTCCTGACCTGCGAGACAGTACATTTCTGCTGTGTGAGCCCCCGGTGGTGGCGCTGTGTTATGGCAACCCCAGCTGACGAATAGGCCTCCCTACCTCACACCATACACAGGGTCAAGTCCACGTAGACAAGAACCTCACTTTCAAAAGAAAAATGTAAACTTAGAAGACAGCCCTGGCCGGTTTGGCTCAGTGGATAGAGCGTTGGCCTGCAGACTGAAGGGTCCCGGGTTCGATTCTGGTCAAGGGCACGTACCTCGGTTGCAGGCTCCTCCCTGGCCCGGGCCCTGGAGGCAACCAATCAATGTATTTCTCTCACATCGATATTTCTAGCTGTCTTTCCCTCTCTCTCCCTCTCGCCCTAAAAAGCACTGAGAAAATGTCCTCGGGTGAGGCTAGTAAATAAATAAATGAACTTAGAAGGCGATGTCAGTAGGTGTGCTGAGCTCAGGATAGGGAAGGGTTTCTTTCTTACACAAGACAAATCACCTCTCTGTGCCTCAGAGCCCTCAGCTGGGGATGGGGCACCCCGTCCAGAACCCTCCCCTGTAATCTAAACAGGACAGTGTGAAGGGGAGAGAAAGACCTCACGGGGTTACAGTGAGACCCGGATGAGAACACACAGGGAAGCCAATGAGGAGAACGGGGCCATGGACCCCCCGCCCCACCTCAGAAGGGCGCCCACATCAGCCACCGCGGGGCAGGCAGGCAGGCAGGCGGGGCCCCCACACACCAGGAGCGGGGTGTTGCCGGGGACTCTGACCCCGTCAATCAAGGTCTCCTCCTCCAGCAGGCGAAAGGTGCCCCACGCGGGCGGGTACAGCCTCAGCGACTCTTTGAGGACCTGCAGAGCCACACGCGGAGGAAGTGAGAGGAAGGGGAGACCCCAGGGGACACGGCCCAGCTCCATCTCTGCTCCCACTCCCGGCACTGACTGCGCCCCTAAGTCCAGGACTGGGTCCCGGACCCCTGCAGAGTGACCTTCACCTTTACGTTCAACCCTCATTCGACCGAAGGAGAAACTGAGGCCCAGAAGGAGAAGGGGGGTTGGCAAAGCCATAGCAGCAGAGCCCGGACCGGGAGCCAGACCTCCTCTGCACTGGGGTCCCTCCATCCTGAGTCCCCACGGCCCAGGCGAGGCCCCCTGCTCTGTCTCCCAGGGGAGAGGTGCTGGGCCTGCTCCCCAGTGGAAGCTCGGGCCTGTGGATCTCCGGCCGAGTCAGGGGTGCAAACCCAGCTCCACTCAGGGCGCGCTGTTTCCGACCTCGGCTGCATCCTGGCGTTACCTGCGAAGCCTGCCCACGCGGCTGCCCGGGGCCGCCCCCAGTGACTGTGGTGTCCTTGGTCCGGGGCAGCCTGGCCTGGGGCTGTTTTAGTCTCCCAGGGGCTCCCATGAGCAGCGAGGTCAGAGAACCCCATTCTAATGGGTTAGGGCGGCTGCAGGCCTAAACCCACGAGTCCTCCGCATCTGCCCTGAAGCGCCTGCCCGCCCCCCACACCTGGGACAGGTACTGCAGCCTCCCCAGGTCCTCGTAGTCCAGGTGCCGCTTAGAGCCGATGACCTCGTCCACCTCGGCCTGCAGCCTGTGGGGTCAAAGACAAGTTCCTCTCCAAGGACAGAGTTTTAAGAAGGGGGGGAGGTGGAAGGAAGCCTGCAGAGAGAGGTTGGGGTGCCCCACCGTGAACACTGCCCTCCCCCCCATTTTGTTTAAGACATCCCGGAACTGCCATGTCCAAACCAAGGAGCCCAAGCAATGGGAGCCGTGTCCCAGGCTCTTTACAAAGTTCATCCTCTGTGTTCGCTGCTGGGAACCGGCTGCAGGAAATCAACGCACCCCGAGCGAGGGCTTTGCACACAGGCGCCCCTCAGCCCAGACCACGGTGCCGTCAGCTGGAGACAGCGGAATGCGCGGTGCAGGGACCTGGCGAGGGAGCCTGGGGACACGCCCGTTAGGATAACATGCAACACTAGGAGTGCGTATGGGCCCCCCCACACCCACTGGGAGGGCTGTTGTCAATGACAGAGGAGAACAAGGTGGCGGATGTGGAGAAGCCAGAACCCTGGTGGGTGGGAAGGTCAATGGTGGGAAATGGTAGGGCAGTTCCTCAAAAATGAGCATGGAATTAGCATCTGACCCCGCAATCCCACCTTCGGGTGTGCGCCCAGGGGAACTGAAAGTACAAATAAATCTCTGAGCACTCATGTTTGTAGCAGTGTTATTCACCGCAGCCAAAAGGCAGAGGCAACCTCACGTCCACGGATGCCTCCACAAGAATGGCCCAGCCACACAGTGGAAGAGGACTCAGCCGTAAGAAGGAAGGACGTCCTGACACCTGCTCCCACGTGGACGCACCTTGAGGGCAGGATCTTGAGTGAAACAGCCGGTCACAAGGGACAAACAGTGCATGCCCCCTCCCCCCATCCATGCAGTGCCTGGAGAACTCGGGTGCTAGACAGAAGGTAGAATGGGGGTCACCAGAGCTTGGGAAGAGGAGGTGGGAGTTCTTGTGTGATGGGGACAGAGTTTCTGTTTGGGAAGATGGGAAGGTTCTGGGGATGATGGGGGGATGGGTACGTGACAATGTAAATCCACTTAAGGCCTCTGAGCTGCACAGTTAAAACAGTTAAAATGGTCTATTTTATGTTATATATGTGTACTTTACCATGACATTTCTAAAAAGTGGATTTGAGAAGAGGTTACAATAACATGGGGTGATGTCGTGGCAAAATACATGGTGAAATTCAGTAATTAACCATGAACTGTCTCTGGAAGGGTGGGGCCACCATGGACAGATTTATTATTATTACTAGAGGCCTGGTGAAAATATATTTTTAAAAAAACAGTTAAAACAGTCTATTTTATGTTATATATGTGTACTTTACCATGACATTTCTAAAAAGTGGATTTGAGAAGAGGTTACAATAACATGGGGTGATGTCGTGGCAAAATACATGGTGAAATTCAGTAATTAACCATGAACTGTCTCTGGAAGGGTGGGGCCACCATGGACAGATTTATTATTATTACTAGAGGCCTGGTGCATGAAAATTTGTGCACTGGAGGGGGGG